CGTAATTTCAAATTGAAAGTATACATACAGGGACTATCAAAAAAAGGTTTACTAAGAACTAAACATCTATTTTGTTATTATTATTATTATTATCATTATTATTATTATTATTATTATTATTATTATCTTCGAAAATAGATAAAATGGCAACGACATTTGGACAATTTATGTCCAAACAATAGACATGTCTACGGATCGAACCGACCCGCGAACCGGCACCGGCCCGGCCCGAACCGGGAACTCTAAGGCTGGTTCGTTGAACCTGACCCGTAGGGTCGCGGTTCGATCCCGGTTTTCTTTTTTTGTATTTTGGTCCCGTCGGTCCTGACCGAGCCGGGTCGGACGGCGGGCCACATTGTTAAGTTTTTTTTGTTTTTTTAAGATCCGTCCCGGCCTGTGAACCGACCCTTGAACCGCTGGATCGGTGAACCGGCAGTTTGGGCCGGTTCATAGAACCGACCCTTGGTTCTTAGCAGGTCGGTCGCAGGCCGTGTGTTGGAGGGCCCGTGGCCCGGCGGGCCGGACTGGGCCTTAGCCCGTTGACTGGCTACCACTACTACCAAACAAGTGAAATAAAGTAATTGGTTTGGAGAAAATTGCACTAGATACGGTCAGAATAATATTTTATTACATAAATATAATAATTTTATAAATATTAGCATATTAACATAACATACTGTTTTTATTTGCAAAAATATCTAAGAGAGTTGAAATAAAATGCAATCAAGATTTACCATAATTAATGCTAAAATTTATCACATCCCAAGTAACCACTCCCTATGTAACTGGTAAGAAACATTTTCTCTCACATCGATAACGCCCCACTTTCAACCTCATCTATCTCCCACAATTCTGCATCTCTCTCCCACGATGAGGTACTGCAAAATATATTTGGACTTACTGTAGACATATACATAACATATACATATTATATACACTTACTGTACATAAGTGTATACACTACATATACACTAAAAAAATCTAAAGTTTGAATTATAAAAATCGGAAAATAT